GAAAGAAAGAAAGAAAGAAAGAAAGAAAGAAAGAAAGAAACGCAACAGCGCCCCCTCTGGTCACAATATATGACGGTCACAAAATATGGTGAAACACCTGTAACAGCCTTTATAAAAGGCGTGCAGTCGCTGTTAACTTGATGGCCAAGTCGAGATCCGCCAGCATGACCGCGTTTTCTACACCTCAGGAGCATCAGGAAATGTCTGCTGTAAGTCGGGCTGTAGACATTTCTTTAGGTATTCTGAAGTTGAACAGTTAACACACTGTTTTGTTTTGCAGAAACAAATCGAACAACTACAACATGAGATCCAGGAAAACCTCTCTAAGCTGCAGGAAGTGGAGCAGAAAACATCGCGTGTTGAAGAAGAGATAACTCACAGGTATAAAAAATGTTTTTTTTCTGGTAGTTAATTCGATTTTTCGCGTTTAYATGCATATGTACAAAAAACAGTTTTGGTTTCGCGGTGATGTAACAACGTAGACTTATTCAGTGCGTCAAGTTTGCGATGAGTTTGACTAATTAGCCCATGAGCTTCTAAAATTAATTATCTCGTTTTCTTTAAGATAACCATCACTGATGGCATCTTTTGGTGCCTAATTATGGCTTTTGCGAGTTGTTACAGTTAGAATATTTAATATTTGCTTTAGTCTGTATTTTCAATTTACCACAGATTTTTAACATCTTTTATTGACAAATCAAAACATGGCAGCAAAAGAACAAAAGTAATTGAAACAAGCACTAAAATGTACAATTTACCAAATAAACATTGTCTACACCCCCTTTTTTTGAAGATGACACGTTTAACAATTTGAGTCCTCAATCATTCCTAAAGATATGTTTATTTCAGAAAATAAGCCTTCTTAAAACATTTCTGTGTACTTGTATGAAACTGTTACAAGTTGACAATTGCCAAACAAAACTCATGCAAGTGTGGGTCATTGTTTAAGCAAATTTAATGAAGTTTTGAAATTTGTTTTTTAAAATCTATGTAAGTTATCAACTTTTTTAACCATTTACCCCCCACCAAAAAAAAAAAAAAAAAACCTATTAGAACATATGAGAAGTAATTACCATTCAGATATTTTTATTTATATTTTTAACTACAAATGAGTTGAAACAGGGAAAATTTTATATTTCAAATGTAATCATTCAGCAAACTCTTATAGATGTTCAAGGTCTAAACAATTTTAAACGGGATGAAACTGTTTTCAAAGAAATATATTCTTTTATATGCATTTGACATTTTTAAAGCTCTTTAATTTTTTCTTTTCTGTTTGCAGTAAGAGAGAAACTGAACGTAGAGTGGAGCTGATGATGGAAAACGGTGAACTTGTCCATGCATTACAGCAACTAGGTTGTCTTCTGCAGGAGGAAACACGACTCTCAGAGCAACTGAAGAGTCAAGCTGCCTCAGACGGGTAATTTGTAATTGCAGAAAGAAAATAAAACATAAACGCACAATTTCATGATGCATCTTCTCTATAAGAGTTCAAACGAGTCTTTTAGAAAAAAGGAGCAAGGCTGCCAAAGAGAAAACGAAAAGACTCGCTGCTGAAATCCTGGAGGTGAAACGGCGACTGGCAAAACTTAAAGCTTGTAAAAAGGCAGGTATGGAAAATGTTTGAGCTTTTTACATCCTGACAAACTCTTTCAGAAACAGAAATGTGGCCTCTTTCATTTCAGCACAAGCTGCAGTCCCAGAGAAAACCAGCAAATCAAAAACACAGCAGAGAAAGTAAATCCAGACCTCTTGTGGACTACACACTTTTTTATATAAATGTATTAATAAATGTATTTTTGCTAAAACCAATAAATGATTTGTCTTTTATTTACACTCCCTTGCATACTATTTAAATATAAAAGTCATGCTTCTGAAGGCCAAATAATGCATGAAGAAAAAAATCTGAAATTCAAGACTTCACAAGTGAAATAAAGCTGCCATAGCTGCAGGGCAGGAACAAGAAGAAGAGAGAAGTGGGCAAAAACGATGAATTATTTCTTCTCTTCCTTCAGACATCAATGGAGAAACAGAAATCACAAACAAGAACATGATAAAAATATTATAGTAGTTTCTCAATGTGWTACTGAGATGGGCCAGAGCGCATATTATAGATTTAAATACCTCTCAAGATGACTTAAACAGGTTTATGTAGGATATTAGTCCAAGTTTCATTTAAAAAGTACAAAAATTTAACTCTGTTACCAATTTAAATTTAAGTCAGATTCATGATACAAAGTGCCAATTCCATATGGACCTATTTATTTAATCATCYTTGCTTTTTGTGCTATGTTTAAAAAGGATTTTGCCTTAAGTCATTACTTGTTGACATGAACAAAATCAAAGTAAGCAGTGTGGTATAAAGTATCACAAAGTGATACTTGAGTAAAAGTCTTAATCTGATTTTTTTTGTACTTAAGTATTAAAAGTAAAAGTATTAATTTAAAATGAGCCATTAAATTTTTCGTAATGACATTTATTAGGAGGTGACCTATCCAAAAATGCAGAAATGACTGTCTTATTAAAATAATTAATTTTAAATTTAAGATGCACTAGTCTAGCTGTTTCAKTTTATATACATAYATCACAGGTTMCCAAAGGTTAAAAACAATCTATCCAAGGGCTGCGRCCAAATGCARTAATATAGTTCATRAAATACAAATACTTAAGTAGGCCACAGTAGTTTTATTTTAATGATTATGTCCTGCTGGATTGTGACATGATTTGTTTGTGTACAAACTAATACAGTTTTGTATGTTTATATCATTCAGCCACAATTAAATTAACTTTAAGAGGCACAATTTAATTGGATAGTATTTATTTTTTATAATAAGCTGGAATGAAAACAAGAAAAATGAAATAAAAGTAATGACTTTCTACTTCTTGCCTTTTTAAAAAAAATGTAAGGAGTAGAACAGTACAGATAACTGCGTGAAAATGTAAGAAGTTGAAGTAAAAAGTAGGCTGAGAAATAAGTACTCAAGTAAAGAACAGATACCCAAAAATTCTACTTAAGTACATTAACAAAGTATTTGTACTTAGTTACTTTACAACTCTGAAAGTAAGAAAACGTGTCAGTTCACTGTTTAACATTAATTTAGAGGGGGAAATATACTGTAAATAGTTTTACCTTTTTGCTTAGCAGGACAATATTTTGAAATGATGCTTATTATGTTGTTGTTTTGCACAATAACTTTATATTATTATTAGTTGCGTCACACACCTAAAGTAACCTTTGAGCTGCAGACTGAGCATTTTTGTCCCTCCTGGCTTTCCGTAGTCARTGGGAGGATACAAACATTTCTGTCCGTCTCTTTCATCAGGCGTCCTTTTATGGTGAGACTGTTTTTAATTACGCCGATTATAACTTATACTAGAAGTATTGCTCTTTTAAAAYAGCAAAGGATGAAGAAATTTACGTGTTTTTAAAAGTAAAACGTCACAGTTTTCTTACAACACGTGTTCCTCAAACGACAGCTACCATTAGCTTAGACACTATCTGTTAAGAACAGAGACATTAGGAGAGATTTTAGTTGGTTAGAATGAGTCAGAGAAGGAAATAATTGTATATTTGATCAAATTCCTAACATGATTTATGATAGGTTGTTCTGTGTGTATCATATAGACAAAAACAATAATTACTGGACAATCAAGATGTCAGGTTCTGCCGACTTCCGGTCTGTTTTTGACTTGTTCTCAAAAGAAGAGGCTTCTGAGCTGAGAGAGGTGAACCCTGTCTTGAAAGAAGCTTTAACCTCTGACCCAGCACCAGACCGTATGTATGAACTGTAGCTTTAGGCACTTATTTTGTAACAACGATTACATCATTGAGTCCTTATTGTTTTGCATTCAGGTGTAGAAGACAAAGGTCCAGATGATGACCAGAGGAGAGAGGCCCATTTGCACAGAGATGTGTCAAATAAGTTGGTTTGCTCAGCCTGCCAGTGTCCCTTTAATAATCGCGAGGAACAGGTGAACACACAGCAAATACACCACTCCTTTATTCGCTGCATGTTAAACGTGTTAACAGATTTGTGGTGTGTGTTGTAGAGAGAGCACTACAAGCTTGACTGGCATCGGTTCAACTTAAGACAAAAGATGTCAGGAGTGCCTCCCCTCACAGCAGAAGAGTTTGAGAAGAAGACTGGAGCAGGTGATGAAATGAGAGCACTTCATGTTTTTTACAGGAAGAGAGAAATGTAAAAAATTCCTGTTGTCACTTCACAGGAGACCTGTCCAGCATCTCGGGCTCAGAATCTGATTCAGAGCAGGAGGACTGGGATAGTGACAGTGGGGCAACGAGAGGTCATCTCACCAGCACTGATAATGAGAGATCCTCTGAATCTCGTTTAATTTCTGGTCGACTCTCCAGCAAAGTGTTTTTTCAAAACTCTGCTGGAGAGTATCTGATGGTCCATCGATGCATTCTGTTCAGAAAGGTAAGCCGTATTTGCAGGTTATATTTTCCCTTTTTTGAAATAATAAATAWTTTTTATCTTCATTTTTATTTCAGTCCGAGGAAGAGTCTGATCCAGTTTCCTCCTTGAAGTCCATAAATCAAAAGACTATGTGGGTCATTCTCATGACAGGAGGAGGCCACTTTGCAGGTGCTGTGTTTGAAGGGTAGGTTGGTTTGTTTTAGAGAGTATAAATGGYTGGAAGTGGAAGCACACAGGTAAACCGTGTGTTAGCATGGAGTCAACATGCATTGAAAGGGATGAAATGGATTAAATGTAAAAACATGCGTTTGTGTTCCAGAAAACAAGTCGTCCATCACAAGACTTTCCACCGATACACGGTGCGCGCAAAGAGAGGCACGGCTCAGGGGCTTCGAGATTCCCAGAACCGCASTCACATGCCCAAATCTGCAGGAGCGGCTCTGAGGCGGTACAACGAGGCAGCGCTCGTTAAGGCAAGATTACAGCACTTTTGTAATTAGACTCGCAAAACCACTGCAGGCAGCCCCAAAGGTGGCCAATTAGAAGAAAACAGACCGCGACTTAAATAGTGATCATATTGTAAGAAAACGCAGCGTTCAATACTGAAGTCGAGACGATAAACACACAAATGTTGAATTAATTGAAATGTAAAGGAATGAGGACCATACAAATACCAGTCGCTGGATAAGAACGATGGTTTAATGGTGTTCAAGCAAGCAGGAAACCAGCGCTGACAGAAAACCGGAAGTTCTATCATTTTTAAACAGTTGTCTTCAATGCCTGGCCCGCCCACTACTGGCCTGCGGCTGAATCGCAGGCACTCAGACAAAAATACTCAACTAATGTTTGATTAACGGTTCTTTTTATGTGTTGGATAAATGTTTCGGACGTTACGCAGCATGCACTCACCAGCTGAGTATATTTATATTTTGTCCAAAAGCCACACACAAATATCTGCCTTTTAGTCCAACATTGTGCACAGTCTTTATTTTTTTAATTAACTTTTTTACTTTTCTTTCTTTTGTATTTTTGATTATAAACCTGTTTTCCACCTCATAACTAAGAATAACACTCAGGTGGGGAGGACGACAGCTGTGTTTACTGTGTAATCTCTGTCTTCACTCCATCTCAGACCCCTAGTGGCAACTCTTCACCACTTAAGAGCCCTCTGGAGCAGTCTTAACTTTTCTTGAGAGTAAGAGTTATTCTTAGACTTAAGAATTTTGATAACTGGCACTTACACTTAAGACTGAGAGTAGGAGCAAATCTAAGAAATTTTCAGCACTTAAGTCTAAAAATCCACACTTAAGAAGTTTTATAAATACGGGCCCAGATCAGTGAGATTTTGGAGCTAGTTATGAGCACAGAAGACAAGTTTGAGATAATTTTCTTTTAAAAACTATAATTTTTACAGGATATTCAAGATCTTCTGCTCTCCTGGGCAGAACACTTGAACAAAGCCTCTGCAGTCTTTGTGCGAGCCCCTAGCTACAACAAAACCATCTTTACTGGTGGCCGTGGGGGGCCCCTTGGTAAAAACGATCCCCGAATCCGTCCCATTCCTTTCSCCACGCGCAGAGCTACGTTTCGAGAGGTGCAGCGGGTACACGAGCTCCTCTCTACTGTTCACGTGTATGGTAAGCATATTGGCATGTTTAGATGAGCAGCATGCTTCAGCCAGTGTGTGATTATTGAATAATCAAATCTGTCGTGCTGCAGGGAAGGACACAGACATGTCTGCAGTTTGTAGTCCGTCCAAGAAGACGTGGAAAAGCAACGTCAAACCTGCAGCACAAAAGGCCTTGGATCAGGAGGAAGGTAGGGTTTACGACGCTGAGATGTTTCTGTGAAATGCTGAACTTAAATATTAAACTTGCTTCATTTTGATGCAGGTTCATTGCTGGCACCAGCAGAAGAAAACCAGGAAAGCTCAGACGAGGAGGGCAGGGAGGTCCAGCTGGAGATGGTGGAGCTCATGTTAGGAACCCTCGGCCTCAGGGAGTCTGAAATTTATCCCCCCAGGCACAAGAGAAGGAGGCGGAGAAAGAAGGAGAGCGCCGAACGAAAAAACGAAGGTAGGTCTAGATGGGTGTAACATAATGTAGGCGTCTTATTTTAATATACAACACAAATAACGTAAACTGCATAAGTATGTGATGCAGAAAAGAATAAYGAACAAGCTGATGGCCAAGACGCAGCACCAGCAGAAGACGACGCTCATCAACAGATGCAATTTTTAGAAAAGGATAAGAGTAAAGCACGGACTAATAAAGAAGATGGTGAGAGCAGATTAATATATTTTTATTATACTGCCCATCATTTGAAGCYGTGCAAAGCTTTAAAATAACCCATTCATGATGCTTATGTTAGAGCTTTCTGTGTCTCTAGTTGACTCGTGTGAGTTTGGCCTGAGGGATGAGATGTTTACAGCATGCAAAATTGGAGATGTAGGTGCTCTCTGTAGTCTCCTTCAGCTAAATGAGGAAATGAAGGAGAACTGTGAAGAGATGGAGAGCAGTCCTCCTGTGTTTCCAAGTCCTTTAAGCCTCCTCAATAAGCCCATAGACTCAGCAGGCTTCACCTTGCTCCACGTCGCTGCAGCCGCTGCTCAAAAGGCTGTCGTCAGGCTGCTCCTCGACGCAGGAGCCGATCCCGCCTGCAGGTATCAGGAGTTTTATTCTCAAATGACATTAAAATTGGTTTTCTTAATATTTACAAACTTTAGATTTTCAACATCTCTCTCTATAGGGATAACAAAGGCCAGACACCGTAYGTTGTCGCCCCCGACAAAGACACAAGGAGCGTCTTTCGTAAATACATGGGCGAGAATCCTGAAAAGTACGACTACAGCAAGGCACAGGTGAGATTAAGCTGTGATTTTTCTTATGAGCGTTTGAAGCAGAAAAGCTTATGGTTTGGCACTGCGCATTTCCAGATCCCCGGGCCGCTCACGGCAGAGATTGAATCCAAAAAGGCAGAGAAGAAAAAAGCCCAGAGGGCTCAGAGAAAACAGAAAGAGAAAGAGCAGAAGGAGGAGAAGATGAAACGGGAGGTGGAAGAAGAAGAGAAGAGGAAGTTTGCATCTCTGACAGACCGAGAAAAGGTAGGTAAATGTGTGTTTATGATTTTTGTGCGACTCTTTTGAATATTGTAATTATTTTTTTCTCTTTGATTAGAGAGCTTTGGCAGCAGAGAGGAGGCTGGCAGAGCAAGTAGCTGCAACAGGAGTTAGCATCTCTGATGTCAAGTAAGTAAATCAAATCACATCATTCAGCTTCATCATAGTTATTTAAATTAGGCAAAATGCTGGTGGTTAGATATTAAAWAGCTTGAATTTGGTTTCATTTTTACCTCTTATTGTGTTTTTCCTCCCTATCAACAGGAGGTGCTGGCTTTGTGGAGAATCTCTGCTCTCAAAAATCCCATTTCACTACCTGGAGTTTTCATTCTGCTCTCCACGCTGTGTTCAAGCACATCGAAAAGCAAACTTTCCCTCGGGCAAGACCTAGCTTTCCTTTGAAAACCCTTTAATTAGTAGGAAGCTGCCTCTTCAAAACTACATGAGGATTTGGCTATCTGTGACTGTTTAGCTTTTATTTCAATTTAAGTTGGAAAAAATATTTCTAATTATATTTATCAAATTTTCTGACAGCTGGATGAAAAAACTAAGTGTAATAAAAATCTATAATGTATTTCAATATGTGGTGCTATAACAAATAATGAAAGAAATGATAATAAACTTTATACTTTGCCAAAGGCTCAATGACAAGTTGACAATCATTTTTTGGTTAATCTTTTATAAAAAGTTAATGAAGCTGATGGAAAAAAATGACAACATAAAGACTTGAATCAAAAAAATGATGTGGAACAAAATGTTTTTTTTTCTCTGAGGTCGGAGGTTTGCACCTATTACGGTTCAGTCAAACCTACAGTGGTTTGCAAAAGTATTCATACCCCTTGAACTTTTCCATATTTTGTCTCATTACAACCACAAACATAAATATATTTCACTGGAATTTAATGTGAAAGACCAACACAAAGTGGTATACAATTGTGAAGTGGAAGCA